CGTGAATGGCTTGGTTTGGGTTTTAACCTAATCAAGATCTTCTCCGCATTGAGCTTCTATATTTCTATAATATTTTGAATGCATAATGCAGCAACTGCGCGTCTCGTGGGCTAGACTAACAAAACATTAAAATGCAACGTCACTTACATCATCATCACCACATCTCGCGCACCACTGATGACGCTCCCTGACGCACTCCTAACAATCGATTGTACCATTTTTGCATTCAAATGCAAATGTTTATTTTAAATTCGACTAATATTCATTTTTTTATTCACAATCTCCTCATCACAGGCAGGCACGGCACTCAATTCAGCATGTGTTCGTGTTTGTGTGAGCTGTCTGCGTCACTCATAGGACGTGCCTATATCGTGCGCTATATCGAACATTTTTTATATCGTTATTGATGGTGTACCGTCGATAAATATCGATACCGTTTTATCGCCCAGGCCTAATTGGAAGTGTAATTTATTTTTTTTATTTTGACTCAAGTCCCATTCGTTTACATGGAGAGGGCGGGGTTTATGACCTGTACTGCAGCCAGCCACCAGGGGGTGATCAAAGAGTCCGCAGCTTCACTTTTCAGGACGTGTGAGGCACACCAGGTTATAACATTTCCCGTTCTGATGTGTTCCACAGGTGCGCACTTTCTTCACTCAGGTGTTGAACGAAGCTGAGCGAGAGCGTCTGTGTCAGAACATGGCCGGCCATATAAAAGGAGCTCAACTGTTTATTCAGAAACGTGCGGTATGATCTTTTTTTTAGTTTTTTTGGTCCTATGAGTTTCTTGGTCATGCAAACTAGTCAAACTTCTCCTTAGCAGTTATTGAGGATTATGTAAACATTCCTGGATAAAAACGCTTGATTTCAGTTGATTCAGATTTTTGTGATTTATTTTTATTTTTATTTTTTTTTGCAGGTGCAAAACCTAATGGCCGTTCACCCCGATTATGGCACTCGCATTCAAACTCTCCTGGATAAATACAACACGGAAGGGAAAAAGGTAGAAAACATTCTCATCAGTCTCGCACACATTCTTGTACACCCAAAAAAATTTGGTGAAAAAATTTCACTTAGAAATTGCTAGTAAATTGTACAATTAATTACAAAGAAATGGCAAGTACAATAAATAGCCAAAGACTAAAATAGGATTTTCTTGGAAAATGTACTCGCATAAGCTATTATTTACAGCTTTGAAATTTTTTTTACAGCGTATGTTATTTTAGTGTGTTATAGTTAATCATTATTAACTATAACAAAATCGTTATAGTTAATCATTATAGTTAAAGTTTAAATATTATAGCTATGAGTAAAACCATTAAAAAAATTAACTGAATGAAAACATAAAAAGCTGAAATAAAATATTATAATTCAATATATTTAAAAAAGCTATATTAAAAAAACACACACATAACAACATTAAACCAAAACTGAAATGTAAATTTAAATTATTACAAAAATTATAATAATAATAATAATAATATAATTTTTTTCTCACATAATTAATTACTTTTTTCCCTCTGAATTCTTAGTTTATCTTGCGATTCTGTTTTCCCTTGCATTTTTAGACACCTGACCTGTAGACAAGCAGAAGTTTGAGGAAAAAAAGTCATAATTGCAAGATTAAAAAGTCCGAATTACCTTCTTTTATTCTGTGGTGGAAATAAGCGTTATTTTCTCTGTCTTCTTTATCTCTCCAGAACACTATTCATGTTTATACTCGTGGTGGAGCGTCCGCTGTGGCCGCAGCTTCTAAGATGTGATTTCAAAGTCTCTCTGCACACACATATAAACACATTCATTCTCTTATAGAGTGTGATATAGAGTCATGATGCTTAATTCATTTCTTGTGTGCTGTAGAAATACGGACATCATATCTAATATGGCCAATTCACAACACAAGTGGTATTAGCAAATGCAGCGCTGATTCCTTAATCATGATTAATGCCGTCAAACCAAATGGAGGCCTTTGATGCATATACGCAAGTTTGAGCTTATCCAAACTAAATCAGTCTGTTTCAGTATATTTCTGCATTTTGATTATGTGCGAAATGTAGAATAGCCAAAAATAATCTGAGAATGAACACAAATGTTTAATATTAATACTGTGTGAGCCTTTTGATTTTTTTTTCTTTATATCTTGGCTACTGATGCCGTTTAATGTTAAATAAGAGAAATTAACTCTTTCCGTCCCTTTTGCCTTTAACTGAATATAATTCAGTTCTGATAATACGAACACCTTTTGTCATTTTGTAATTAATAAATATGAATATTTGAGCTCTATGACTGAGTTGTGGATTTATTTTATAAATCCTGGTTGCTCTCTATTTCATTTTCATCTCTTACTTTAAAAAAAAAAATGTGGGTATGAGAGCTGTGGGCATTGAAAGCTATGATGGAGGTCAAAGTTTAAGATAAATTAGTAAATTATAAATTTTAGGTAGTTCCTCCCACAAGAGACAAACTGCATGGCTTCTAAAGACTCAAAGTATTGCATTCTGTTTAAAGAAAGAAAACTTTACAGGTTTGGAAAAAAAAAATTTGAGTGAATTTCTCCTTTAATTGTTTTCTTTTTTCCTTAAGTGCTTACACAGTAGGGGGCGCCATTTTCTTACACAGGAACCCCAGATCCTAATATGGGAACGTTTGATTTCTTCGGTGAAGACGGATTCCAGAGCTTCATGAAGCTCTTCAGCAGGTAGACAGAGCCACTCGAACAATCCCACCACCAAAAACTCCTGCAAACCTTCTGGACTGTTCGCTCTCTCTTCACTTCATCAACGTGTTATTTTCTTTGGCTCTGTGATGAATTTATTATTATTTAGATTTGTTTTGTTTATTTCTTTTTTCATAATGTCAATGTAGTGTATATTAACTCATATCTACCCTACAATTCTATTTTATGAAGTAAATTGGCTCAACTGTATTTAATAAAATATTTAATTTCCTCAATATGAGTCTCTTTGAACAGATTTCTGTCACCAGTGGGATAAATCATTACAGCGGTCATGTTAGCAATGCTGCCGCGAAATTTCGCGGGCAAAAAGTCCATTATTAATAGTTTAGGGATGTATAAAGCATAGCTCGCACAGAAGTCACTTTCAAACCAAGCAGAGTTCTGTTAATCAGCGCAACGAAATCGCGTGTAAAACTTGAACAAGAGCGAAATTTGCGTGAGGAACCTTTCCTATTGAAATGACTGGATTTCGCCCGCGAAATTTCTCAGAGCTTAAATGTGACCGCGCCTTAAGAAGTAAGATTTGATTCACGATTCACGAACAAGTGATTCTTTTGATCTGGTTCCTTTTAATGATTCACATGATTGTGCATGTAAATTATATATATATATATATATATGTGTGTGTGTGTGTATATATATATATATATATATGTGTGTGTGTGTGTGTAAGACTTTTATGTTTTATTTTTTGTTTTTTTGGGGGAGTACACAATATGATGTGAGCATGTTTGTTCATATTGCACAGCGTTAACATTATAGTATAGTATATTTTTCAGACGTTAAAGATATGTTCATAGAATTGCCTGGATGAAAGCCTGATTTTAGGCCTCTGTGATTTACTGTCTCACTTCAGCTGACCTTGCACCTGCACTGACACTAAGTTGCTCTTTTGGTTCACATGGCCTTCAACATGTTCTTTTGATAAAAAGACACTGAATAATTACTTTGTGACTCAATTAAAATATGTTTAGACTTCGACTAGTTGGCATTTTTTCCAGAGAGAGAAAGAGAGGAACACCTGCAATAAGATCACTGGTTAAAAACTGTACAAAAATGTAAACTAAGAGTAAGATATTCAGATCTTCTGCAGGAATCTCGGCTTGTTGTCTCCACCAAAAGTCTAATTTTGGCATCTGGAACTCCACAACTTGAGTGTTTCTAGCTGTATTGTAACGCAACATGCATGCTAATATGTCCAAATCCAAAAACGAAGGATTTGCTGCTGGTGAGTAGTCATTTCGCAGTACATAAGCATTAATTTAGACACTTATATCTGAGGCTATTTACAGTGCACTTATTACAGGGACAGTCCCCTGCAGCAGCCCGGGGTTAGTTGCTTTGCTGCATGGAGGACAGCAGTGATAACCTCTTGTGGGAAGCTCGTGTATTGTTCTCAGATTTTCTTGGATTGAGTGATTACAGCTTCTGTTTTCTGCTGTCTGCTTTTCCTTCATTAGAGTTTCAGTAGGATTCTTCTGCTTTCAGGAGGAAGCAGAAGGGTTTTAGCTGCCATGGTTTGAGCACAACCACATTAGGGAGGATCACACACATAAACACCCACAAACTGAAATTACCCCTGCAGCAGACGTCTATATGCAGCCGATCTGAGAGAACTGAGGGATAATCTTGCCCTTCCGCATGGTTTGGGGCTCTATAATGATGCTCGGTAGTTTCTGGGTGGCTTTCAGCTCCCACCCAGTTTTAATAACAGGTAGGACATCGGACTTGGTATATTTGTTATCAGTTAGTACAAATCAAGGACTTAACTCATACTACAGCAGCTCTCTGCTACTTAAAGTTTGTTGCCTACTAAATATAAAAAAAATCGTATCAGGTAATAATACCATGGTACTCAATATTTTGTTCATTCACATACATACTAATAAAATTTGCATTTTACATCCAAGTCACTTAGATAAAGATAATGACAAATAAATATGTAAACACAATATAAATATGTTACATCTAAGTTACATATATTTCGGTGTCTCCCTCTATTGGTCAACCAAATGTGCGAATAAAAAGCTCAGAGCTCTTTAGTCTCCAAAAAAAGTTTGCCTATCATAAAATGTTTTTTTTTTCCTTGACATGAGTCAAAGACCATTACCATATGATATTATAAATACAATGTAAATAGCATGGTACTTAAAGGACCATAGTATAACAATGTGTCACAGCATTTTGTAAACCCCATCAGATGGTGCTATAGGGTAATTTACAGCAGATCTCCTCACATACAACAAACCGCCGTTGTTTTTGTGAAAACTTATTTAAAAATCTTAATTTTTTATGAAATAACGTGTGTAAAAACATCTTAAATAAACAACTGGAATATAATATATTATCTAATTAAGCCTGAATAAGTTTGACTTTTTTAGCCTACAGTTTGCCAACATAACACAGGAACGAATAAAACCTTTCTGTAGCCTGCATAATGTTGTTTGTACAACTTTTAGTTCATCTGTTCACTTTTATTCAACCATACAGACCACCCAAGAACCAGGGTTATTGTAGTTAACTTTAGTTAACTAGTTATTTTTTAACTGAAATGAAATGAAACTTAAACATTTCTCATTTTTGTTTAGTTTAACTTGAAGTACTAAAATACACTAAAACTAATAAATAAAAATTAATAAACACCACGTATTAAAAAAAAACTAAGATTGACAAAAATTATAAAAACAACAAAACTATTAAAACTTTAAAATGAGAACAGAAAATGTAATTGCCAACATAACACAGGAACGAATAAAACCTTTCTGTAGCCTGCATAATGTTGTTTGTACAACTTTTAGTTCATCTGTTCACTTTTATTCAAACAGACAGACCACCCAAGAACCAGGGTTATTGTAGTTAACTTTAGTTAACTAGTTATTTTTTAACTGAAATGAAATGAAACTTAAACATTTCTCATTTTTGTTTAGTTTAACTTGAAGTACTAAAATACACTAAAACTAATAAATAAAAAGTAATAAACACCACGTATTAAAAAAAACTAAGATTGACAAAAATTATAAAAACAACAAAACTATTAAAACGTTAAAATGAGAACAGAAAATGTAATAATCAAATCTAATTCAAAATGTTAACAAAAGCTATATTAGCATATACTAAAATAAACATGTCAAGAACCGCTCATTAATTACACAGACCAGAGTTTTCCCAAGCAAGAGTCATTCTGTCAGCTGGTGAGTTACTAATTCATGACTGCTGCTTGATCACATGTGACAACATTCTGACATCACAGATCTGGATTTGATGTGCTTGAGTGAGTGTGTCAGCTGGTGATCTATGCCTCGACTGACCCCTCCCCCTGCTGGATGTGGTTGGCCAGCTGGTGTCCATGGAGACGCAGCTGTGGAGTGGGTGAGAAAGACTGGAGACCCCAGCACTCATGAGGGACGACATCTGCCCTGTAACTTCACTATGTCCACAGATATGGCACACACAAGCACTTTTCACAAGTTCAGTATATTTTGGTGATTTATGATGTTGTTGTTTTTTTAATGTACAATTCTCATGTTTTTGTTTGTGAGGCTGATTAGATAAACTATTATGTAGCATAAAAAATTGACCTAGAATCTGTATTCCTTCTTAAAATGTTGATTTGTTTCTTCATTTGAAAATATGAAAAGAAATAGCATCCCATCACTTGTTCACCAATGGATCCTCCGTATGAATGGGTGCCGTCAGAATGAGAGCAAAAAGCTGTTTGCAAGAAATAAATCCACCATTCAGACATTTTTTCATAGGTTATTTTGGCTAGAAGTTCAAAATAGACTTGATGACTTGATGGACTGGAGTCGTTGTGGATTACTTGTGGATTATTTTGATGTTTTTATCAACTGTTTGGACTCTCATTCTGACGGCACCCATTCACTGCTGAGAATCTACTGGTGAGCAAGTTGCTGAATTTCTTCAAATCTATAGAAACACATTTTTTGGATGGCAAATTTTAATATTTGGGTGAACTATTCTTTTAAGTCAAAAATTTTGAGAATATAGAATTATTATTCAGTTAATTGCAGTAAAAATGTATGTCTAATTATTAACTACATTTAATTACCCCCCCCCACA